AAAAGAAAAACAAAATCAGCTCCTTTTAATAGCAAAACTTGGTCATAGCTAAAACCGTGTTTGAAATATGTAAAAGAGCAGCCAAAAGCAGGCAAGATTGGCAAAACTGTGCAAGACAAAGTAGAGATAAGACCCTATGAAGAGAGGACTTAGCTGCTTAGACTCCTGAAACACCCAGTAAAAATACACTTGTTAAAGTTGAAGTACAACATGAAGGTCACATGAAGTACAACTCCCAAATCCCTTATTTGCAACAATTGAATGGGGCTGCAATAGTTCATGACAGTGGCATCCTGCAACAGGTCTGCTTTCAAAGAGAAGAAGTGGCAGGGCTTAATGGAGAATTATACAGATAAGGCCAATCTTCAGAAAGCAGCTTTTCTCATAACAGCCAAGAAAAGAGATTACTTTGCTTGTAAAAAACAAAAACAAAAAAAACAGACTGCAACAAATAATGGCTACTGAAATTCATCAAACAAAAGCTCTTAAATTCATTTGAAAGGTCCTACCAACCTGGAACACATCCCAGGCCCACATGCCTTATACCTTTCAATAAGCACATGGTTCAGAAAAAAACTCTCTTGCGAAAGTAAGTCCTGAAAAAGGAAGCAGCACAGTATCTGTACAAATACTCAGAATGTGAATAGAGGAAGGAAACAGGAATAGTAAATGGCAGGAAAAGAAATTCCCTACAAAGCAGATGAAAATAATTTACTATGAATTAAAAATATGAATGAACTAATTTCCTCTAAAAAGTACCATGCAAGGTGGAAATAAATGTAAGGAATTAAGGAAAAGATGGTGATCTAGTAGGAATAGATGAAAGCATGCTTGCAGATGAGGCAAAGAAGTAAAAGAAAACAAAGTTATCACCAAAAATGTTTTCATGGTTGTGTGTATGTTAAAGCTGATCAGATTGTACACTTTCATATGTTGAACTTATTGCATTAAATTATACCCTACAATAAGTTATAAAAGACAAATAAACTTGCAGATACATATAGCAATATAGATGAATCTTAAAAACACCATGTTAAGTAAAATATATCAGACGTGAAAAAGTACATAGTATATTATTCCATTTACATGGCATTCTAGAAGAGGCAAAATTAAGGTGATATAAATCAGAAAAGTAGATATCTCGATGTGGGAGGAATTGACTAAAAAGAAGCATCAGGAAAATTTCTGGATTATGAAGGTTTTCTGTATCTCTAGTAATGTGGTGATTACTTAGATATACAGCTATAAAAACTCATTAAACTAAAAACTAAAACCTGTATACTTTATTCTAATTATGTCTCATTTTAGTAATGCATATTGAAGGAAAAAGGATTTATAAAGTAAAAATGACAAGTTCAACATATATATAATTTGAGTCTCCAAAGAACAAAACTAATGGAATATAACAAATAAACTGAAGCTATAATCCAAAAATAATTTCCAGAAATAGAAACTCCAGACATGGACATTAAAGTTTATGAAATCAGTAGGGAAAAGATGGGCTATTTGCTAAACATGATTTTTTGTAATAATTTCCTAAATAATTACAAATGGATAAAATGTTTATAACTGAAAAATAAATTAATGATAGCAGAAAAATCATGGTTTGAAAGTACTTTATATATGCCTCATTGTGGAGAATGCTTTTTTAAGTATCCCACTAAATTCAAAAGTGATAGAGGGAAAGATTGATCAATATATGTATATAAAAAATTTAAAATATTTTTCTTTGGCATAAAGCACTATTGTTAATGTCAGAATAAAAATAATAAATTATGTAAAATTGACCTATATACAATTCCCCTAATATATAAAGAACTCCTGTAATCACTAAGAAAACAAAAATTGACAAAGGAAATATAATTATTTCTTAAGGCTGCTGCTCAATTTTGTTCATGATAAAAGAAGTAAAATTTTAAAGTATAGTGAATCATATGTGGGGGCTAAATAAATTTTAAAAAATGGTTCCAAGAAGACAGAATAAAATGATGGTTACCAGAGGGTGGGAAGGGGTAGCAGAAAGGGGGGCTAAAGTGGAGTACAAAAATGTAGTTAGATAGTTAGATAGAATGAATAATATATGATTACACAATGAAGTATAATCAACAATAAGTTAAAGTATACTTTAAAATAACTAAAAGAATGGAACTGGGTAATACAAATGATAAATGCCTAAAGCTATGGATGCCCCATTTACCCAAATTTAATTAATACATATAGTATGCCTTCATCAAAACATCATATGTACTCTACAAAGTACATGCGATATTAAGTACCCATAAAAATTAAAAATTAAATATATAGTAAAAAAAACTTCACTGAAATACCAAATTGGTCTTTTGCTACTGGTGCAGAGAAACTGTTGGTGCTATGTTGAAAGGGAAGCAGGGATAGATAGAGCTTTCAAAACTATACATACTCTTTGGTTCATCATTTTCACATCTAGCAACATATCTTTGAGATGTACAATTGGTATAAGAGCACCAGTATTTATTACAACATTGCTTGTTGAAACAAAAGATGGAAAACAGCGCAAACATCTAACTAACCTGCTCTCACAAAGCCTGGCACTGAGGCACAGATCTCTTCCCATCCAGGATAAGGGATATCTTTTTCTTATATATATATGCAGGTGTGGTACAAGTTAGTATTTATTGATTTCTCAAAAGGAGGAACACAAAGACTTGTGAAGCAGTCCCAGATTTTTAATAATTTTTTTTCAGTCCCCTATCGTCGTCTTGCCACACACAATTTAGGCACACCTTTAGCCAACTTGTCCATCTCAGGTCCTTCCAAAGCATTTCTAGCCCGGTTTTAATAAAGCAGAAACAACTGTTCCTGCAGTTATCTTTCTTTGGTTATGTAATAAATGGATTAAATAACTAATGATGATAGAACTAGGATATATACACATTTAGGAATAAATAGAACTTGGCATCAGGTCAACTAGTAGGAGTAGTTGTGCTCTAGTATGATTAAAAGATCATTGGTATATCTGAAAGAGATTGATTGGAGAGCTTTAGTTAATGTAGCAAGCTGGTTAGATGATCATTTAAGAGAGCCTTTATTGTATTCTGGCAATAGGTGAAGAGTAATTTATTATATTCCAAAGTAAATAAAATCAGAATAATCCAAATAAAAAGTGATTTGCTAGAATTATCACATTTTTACGTCTGAGTGCTTTGTCTTCTTCATTATGACTTTCCTATGAGCCCATGTTCTTTCCAATGTGTTGCAGGCTTTGGTAAAAGAGTTACAAAGTGATGTTAATGTAGTAAGGCGACGAATCAAAGAGCTTAAAAAAATGAAAAAAAACAGGGATTCTTGCAAAACCTCAACCCACAAAGCTCAAACCTTGGCAGCTTCTATCCTGAACATTTCACAGTCAGATCTAGAAGAAATACTAGACACAGAAGATGAAGTGGTAAGATCATTTAAATCTTAATTAATAAAGATTGTGATTATATTATAATAAAGCGTTTATTAGACATTGAATTTAAATACCATTTTTATGTGTTCTATGCTTCTTAGAATTGAAATTCTTTAAGATAATGTTAATGAAGATAAGATTGTTAAAATGCAAATGAGAGATATACATTGAGTATTAACCGACTCAAAACGCCTTTTGTGTAATGCAATGGGTAGTGTAGAAATAATCTAGTTCAACCTCTGAAATTACTTGTTTAATATTTGTGTCATTTACCCTTTCCTGTCGTCTTCATTTTCTTTAATTTAATCATATTTTATATCTGATAAGCCAGTATTTTTAATTAATCAACTGGGATAGATTTAGTTAAGCTGAGTCATCATTGATTTGAGGATTTTTCCCCCTTGTGAGGTTTTTTTAAAGTAGAAAATCTATAGGCTTTCTTGGCTGAATTCAAAATTATTGGTGATCAATATATTTTTTGTAAACAAAATTATTGAAAAATATATTTATTGCCTCTAATAAGGTAAAGTATTCCTTACTGAATTCATATCCATATAGGTAAGGTGTTTGGCGGCACTTTTGGAGAGGGAACTGCAGACCTATAACCTCATAAACCGCAGGATATTATCCTGTGCAGTCCTCTGTGAAACCTGCAGAGGGAGCTCAATTCTGTCTTGCCATGCCTCTGAACTTTAATTCATAAATATTAGAGTTTTTAGAAGGAAGAAAGAGATGATAAGGCTAATAGCTTCCCCATAAATATTTACTTAATGAATAAATAAAATTATAGATTTGACTATATAAGATCATCCTCCAGCCACCACCCAAATCAGCTTCTGAAAGTTCTCCTGAAGTAGAGCAAATCTACAATTTGCAAAGGTTTTTAAACTACCAAGAATTCTTAGAAAAGAGGCTAAAGTAATCCTACAAGGATTATTTTCATCCTATGAGTGAATAAGAGTAAATTATCAGTTTCCTATTTTCAACAGCTATGCTACAATGTCTGTTCCTTTCTACCAAATGCTGAACTTTGAAATACAAGATCATTATCAAACATAAAACACAGGAGATGATGGTACCTCTGGTAAGGGTATTAACAATGCCTCTTGTATACGTTTAATTAAAATGTTCTGATTATAAGAAACATAATAAAAACTTAAGGTTGAGGCCTCTAGTGTTGCTTAGGAGTTTTAAAACAAATTTAGCAAAATCTCTCATAAGCATGCTTTTATGCATGTGTGTATGTTTGTATGTGCACATGGTACACTGTGTACGTACTCTGTGACAGAGGCATGCGTCTTTGTTGGGAATCTAAAAAGATTCCAAGGCTAACAAATTAGAGAAAAGCATTCTGTTTGAATGAGTAAGGGAGAAAAAGGGTCTAGATAGGGTATTTCTGTGAAGAAATGTCACAAAAATTGACTGTGGGAAGATGCCGTCTGAAGACAGAGTACACAGCATTGCAAAATGCATTTTACACAATCTTAAATGAAGCCCTTCCTGGAAGAAAAAGAAGTACAAACATACTGTTATGAGAAGTATCAGTATACCTTGATATATTTACTAGATTTAATTATAAACCAGAGCTTATTTAGACTGACTCCTGTATCTTTCAGAGGTCAAGATAGTTGAGTGGCTTGCCTAAGCAGAGCCCAAACCACCTGATTTATGCTCTTCAAACTGCATTTCATACTATGAAATTCGTGTTAAAAACTGATAGCCTATCTGAACTGTCTAGCATGACATCTGGTACACAGTAAATTTCAACAAAAATTAATTTGATAAAAGGTCCATTTTTTTTTTACAAACTGAATTTTAATTTTCAGTGAATCAACTACCTATGTGAATATCTTATAATTTCTGAAATAATATAACTTGATAATTGTTGGGTTGAAATATTTAGTGACGTACAGCACTTTGTTGGAGTGTTTTTTGCTTATCAGTAGATTATTGGATATTTTAAATCAACAAGCATTTAAATATCATGCTATTTTCTATTTTGTTTGTAATTATAACAATTACCCCTTAGTTATCTGTTGACAAGTCAGATTATTTGGGTATGAGGTTTTATGTTACCTTACTAACGTCACTTTTAAATGATTCTCTTACACAGTTCCATATTATTTTTCACTTTATTGTAATCACTTTCACCCCTTTCACAGTCCCTACCTTGAGTTCACTGCAAAGGCAAAAATAAAATATTATTAAATTACTGTGAAATATGGAAATACCACTTTATCTGCCACATGTATGTAAATCTTTAAAAGTTAAAATATTAAAGAGCATGACTTTAAATATTTGTACTTTGAGGAGACAGGCTGCTCTTTCTTGAATCTAAGCCTACTGCTATTTCTCTAGATTTATTCAATAACTGATAGTATGATCAAGTTAGTATAAATGCAGTTAGAACAAATGTTTTTGTTTTATTTCTCTAGGAAATTGAAAAGATAAAGACAGATGCTGAAAATGATAAGGAATGGCTGCTACACATTCAGAGACTTCTTGAAGGACAGGTATTTCAGTTTTCTGCTTTATATATTAAAACTAAGAATTTCAAACCCTGCATTTTTACTAGTTGTCTAACTTTTTACAAATACTTACCCATTATTTACTTCTGTCAGGTAAAGAAGTATTCCAGTAGGTCGACAGGGAAAGTTAACCCTCTATTTGTACTTTTGAATTTAGCAAATGAAACAAATGCCTTGGGAAACAGCCAACATGGGCCTTACCAAATGCATTAATTAAATTATCGAGTCAACCTCTGTACTTGCTAGACTGAAAAGGATCCATTCTCTCATGCCTCTTAGGAAAAGAGATTCTTTATTAGGTGTCTTTAAAGTTAGTAGTTGATATGGACACCTGAGGAGTTCATGGGTTTCAGTGACCTTTTACTATGGACCTGTTTCCAGTCAATTCATGTTTTCCTCACAGCCAGACAGCTGTTTATTACTGTGTCTTCCCGCATTCTCTACAATATTTTCTACTGAGACCTCGAGCAGCTTGTTAGTGGGAAGTAAATATTGATTTGGCATCCTGTCAATGCAGAAAGAATGAAAAAATTTCCACCAGAGGCCCCTCAAACATTTTCCTATCGACGTTTTCTGGGCCGAGTGGAAAGCTGCATAGAGGATGACAAGGCCAAGACGAGTTGAAATCCCTGAGGGGTCTATTGAGACTGCTGCTGTGACCTGTGTGATACTTTTTCTTCCCTTTCAAGTAGTTTTTTAATACACATATAGTCTGCTGGGATGCGCCCCTCTTGTAAGTGATCAAGGGCAGTTTATTGGCAGGTGAGAGCCCTGCTTTTCTAGTTATCGCCGGCTTTTGTTTTGACATCACTGACAACATGTAATATATTCTAAAACTTTTTCATTATAGCTATTTATGCTTAACCTAATTGCTTCTTTTAAAAATGACTTGGAATATATAAAAGCTAAAGCATATTTGTCAAAATACAAAAAAAAAATACTCTTGTGTGATTTGGGGAAAGTCATCCTGTATGTTTCTGTGTAAAAATTAAAAACAGAAGCTGATATTAATTATTATAGTGCAATTATTTTACACTTTTATTAACAAATAGCAGTTTCTGTGCTTTAAGTAAAGTCAAGAAAGAGGAAATAATATTCAAACCACAAATTTTCTTAGTATCAGTTTTGTATATTTTTGAAACATTATTTATAATTTCTTCAATAATAATATAAAGTGATTGGCAATCTTTTGATTAATGTTGTGTAAATATAGATGTGACGACTTACTTTTGAGAAAAGAGGCCATTTCTTAATTACGTTGTAGGCCTAGAACCCAGCTCAGAGCCTGGCACATTAAGGAGTTTGATAATGATCGCTATAAGTTTTTTTTCCAGCTTGAAAATGATAAAAATAAACTTTTGAATGAATTTTTAAATGTTCACCTTATAAATATGACCTGTGTTTCTTTTAATTGGAAATTTTATCATCATTTATGACCATAAAAATAATCCATATGTATAAAACTTTATTAAATATTACTAAAGCTATACTGACACTAGACCTGGATGTTTTTGCTAACTCTTTTAGAGTTACATACATACATTCTTCATTATCTGAGTGTATGCTTATTCTGTCCAGTTAATGTAAAAAAATCCTGTTGAAAATGGCATCAGACTGCTTAATACTGCAGTTTGATATAGTGCCTTTTTGTGCCACTGAGCCTGGACTCTGGAATATAATTGCCAGGCAGTATTGATTTAATTGCCCAGGTTTATTTGTGGACTCCTAATTATTGACTGGAGGTAAATTTAATGGAGCAGCCTTTATGAACACTGGGAAACCGCTGCTGTTGCTGTTGTATGTAATGAACTGCATCATGTGCCTTTAGATCATTTTTCAAGCTAATTTTATTCCACTGTGACAGTATGATAACATTTAAAAAGTCAACGACTTTTTATTTTTATTACTGACATAGGTGGTTTTGCTGATGTCTTTGAATTTTGTGAGAGAAAAAATACAGACTTCGTTGGTTGCACTTGAATGTCACTGTAATTATGCCCAAGAGAAAAATCTATAAAGGAGAAAACGTCTCCTTTTTTTAGCCTACTTTTCTTCTCCCTCAATCCCAGCAATTATATTTGTCCTGAATTTTGGAAAAGGTTTTCTTTGCCCACCAGTGTTTTTAACATTTTGAGTTATGCTTATAGGATTGTGTGGGCAAAAGTGTAAATATGTTCATTCATAAGTTTTGTTTAGTTTATGGCCTACAGCTCCTTGCATATGAGGTTACATGATCTTTACGTTGTGAAATAACTGAGCACATTTTCTAAAATTTACTAATTAACTCAACATTGGTGTTTTATGTTTAAAATATTTTGAAAATAAAATTATAGAAAAACTTTCCCTTTACACATAAGTCCTATGTCTGTATTGGGTATTATATATGATAGAATTGCAAGATTATAGGGATGAATATGACCCTGTGATTTTGTTTTTTGTTTGAGTGGACCCCAGAATTATTTTCTGTTAACAAAAAATTTTTTAGCATTAATTTGGTAAAATTTTATATTGATAAAATATTTACCACAAAAAGGCAGTTCTGCTATATATCAATAGTGTAATGCCAACTGCTACTGTTAACTAGAAGGGTATGAGAACTACAAGATTTAAAATTTTAACTTACAGGGAAGTGCCTGTGGCTCAAAGGAGTAGGGCACCAGCTCCATATACCGGAGGTGGCAGGTTCATATCCAGCCCCAGCCAAAACGACAAAAAAAAAAAAAAAAAAAATTAACTTACATATATATTCCATATAGAATGCAAATGTAATCATTACATCAAATAGTTCTGATGCAATTAATAATTTTAGACATTTAACATTTATCTGCATCTCACCTTTGTCTCCATAGCTATCTAGAAATAAGAACCACATTGAAAAAAAATCAAAGATCTACTTTCATTTCTATGGCATAGCATAGAAATTTCTGTGAACTTATATTAATCTTTCTTTTCATATTAATACATATTTTAAAACTTAGAATTTATGGAAGAGGCAAACAGCAAATTAATGATTGTTGTGAGATGGGAAAAAACACAAAAATTAGTTTTCTGTAGTTTAGGGAGTGAGAGAAAAAAAGAGACATAGAAAAGTACATTGGGACCAAATTATAAAAACTTTTAAGCAAGACAGGGGCATAATTAGAATTGTGCTTCAGAAAGATGCATGAGATCAGCATGTAGAGGAAAAAGACACTAGAAGCAAGAAAGTAGTCTAGGTGAGGGATCTAGATGTGCTCTGGATGTCAAACTAGAAGGGCCAAAGATAGGTGTGCTCCTTGTTGTAGTAATTGAATAGATAGCAGTCTTCAGATAAGGTGAAGAGGTTAGAAGGCAGAAACCAAAGATGAGTGAGTTAAACATCCTGCACCGTAAGAAAGATGATGATAACCTTAAAGCGTTTTAGAGGATGAGAGAGGTAAGGTAGATTTGGTAGGAGGAAGTTAAATAATGATTGAAGTTATAGAACATTTAGTAGGCTAACAATCAATGCAATTCCCTAAAATTAACATTATTCAGAGATTCGTGATTTTTCATCCATTTATCCCAGCCTTCTGTCTGGCTTTCGTCAGTGAAATTTAACCACTTAAGAATACATTTCAAACTCTTACAGAGACATTAAGCAAAGTGAAATTAGCCATTTACAAAAGGACAAATGCTGTGTGATTGTACTTTCATATAGTTCCTAGAGTAGTCAAATTCACAGAGGCTAAAAGTAGACTAGAAGTTGCTAGGGGCCAGTGGGAGGAGGGGAATAGGGGGTTATTGTTTTAGAAGGACAGAGTTTCAGTATAGAAAGATGAAAACACTCTGGAGATAGATGGTGGTGAGGTTTTAATGCCATTTTATAATAGACTTCAAATAATAAAATTTATATTGTGCCTATAACATATAACACATTTTAAAAAAATATAAAGTAGCATTTATAGTCAGGATATGGGGGACATAGTAATATTCCTTTCCTTTGTGATTTAGTTGATTTAATTTATAGAGGGCAAGCTTATCTCCTTATTTCCAAACATTGAGAACCCCTTATTAATATAGGAACCAAATTAGCATAGCCAAATCTACTGTGGCTCAATTCTGTTAGTTGCTATCTTCTGGATAGGTTCTGTCTATCAATTCTGTCCTCTGGATAGACAAGTTAGTCTTTTATCTCCTGTAATGTGCTATGGGAAAGCAAAAAGTCAGTACATTGTGCCCTGGAACTATGACTACCCAGAAGACCAGTGTAGAATGAAATCACCTCTAGTCTTGCACCGTGAAGCCCCGCCCGTGTCACTACAGTCTGGTTTTCTTAATATCCAAGGGATATCACCAAGAATTTTCATCTTGATTTAGAACTAGATTTTGCCCTGGTCTTCAGACAGAGGACCAATACACTTGTATTTAAAGGTGCTATCATAAAAGATGCAAAAAGTTAAAACAAATATAAAATTTATAAAGTAAAAAAAGCTGTAGTAAACTAAGGTTAATTTATTACTGAAGAAGGAAAATTTTAAAAGCCCACAGTAGTGTACAGTAATGACTTAGGTCTTCACATTTACTCACCTCACTGATTCACCCAGAGCAACTTCTAGTCCTTCAGGTAAGTGCCCTAGCAAGGATATTGTTATCTTTTACACTGTATGTTTACTGTACCTGTTCATGCTTAGATACACACATACTTAACATTGGTGTTCCAGGTGCTTGTTGAGTACAGTAACAAGCTGTACAGATTTGTAGCCCAGGCACAATATGGCCTAGGTGTATAGTAATCGATACCATCTAGGTTTGTTTACATATTGATACCGGAATTTCCTCTTCTCTCCTGGCTGGCACGCCAAATCTGATACCGGACTTTCTGGTTCTTGGTCTTGGTGATTTGAAGAATAAATCCACAGACCACAGATCAGTGGCAAGACAGAATTTATTTACAGAAAAAGAATACAAAAACACTAAAGTTTCTGGAAGGGAGAGAAAACCCAAGTTGGGAGAGAAAAGCTCTC